ATCAATTTTAACATTTACTAAAAACACTTGTTTTAATGAATTTGCGAACGAATTTATGAACGAAAGACAAAAGGCTGAATTAGAAGGAAATAAAGGAAAAAGTTTATTTTGCAAGATTTCGCTTAATGGATCATATGGTTAGATATATTAACGGCAATGCATTAGTTGAGGTTAACAATAAATTAATAGAAATTCCAATTTATTTTATTACTCCATTATATTTAAATAATATTTAATTTTTTTATTTCGTACGAAATGGGTGACAACGAAGCATCCAAGAGTCCAGACGATGAATATAAAAAGAAACTAAACAGAATTAAATCAAAAATATGCTATTACAAAAAGAAGCCGCAATGTGGTGGGGTTGAAAACGATCAAGAGAGGAAAGAAATAATCGAAAAATTAAAAACTTACCGTTCAATCCTTAAACTGAGTGAAGCAAAAATAAAAGAATTTAATATAATAAATAAATTGATTGGAAGAGATGAATTTAATAAAGATGAATTTTTAAACTCAATCCAAATTTAATTTTTTCAGTGCTACCGTGTTACCATGTGCTACCATTACATTTTGACAACAACACAGGAGGAAGGCAATAATTAATTATTTTTGAAGAACTGAAGGTGCTACCATGTTACCGGGTGCTACCATGTCAATTAATTTCTTTTAAAAATGGTGACAACATGACATTTTGACAACAACACAGGAGGAAGGTATTTATGAATTATTTTTGAAGAACTGAAGGTGCTACCATGTTACCGGGTGCTACCATTACATTTTGACAACAACACAGGAGGAAGGTATTTATGAATTATTTTTGAAGAACTGAAGGTGCTACCATGTCAATTAATTTCTTTTAAAAATGGTGACAACATGACATTTTGACAACAACACAGGAGGAAGGTATTTATGAATTAATTTTGAAGAACTGAAGGTGCTACCATGTTACCGGGTGCTACCATGTCAATTAATTTCTTTTAAAAATGGTGACAACATGACATTTTGACAACAACACAGGAGGAAGGTATTTATGAATTATTTTTGAAGAACTGAAGGTGCTACCATGTTACCGGGTGCTACCATGTCAATTAATTTCTTTTAAAAATGGTGACAACATGACATTTGACAACAACACAGGAGGAAGGTATTTATGAATTATTTTTGAAGAACTGAAGGTGCTACCATGTTACCGGGTGCTACCATGTCAATTAATTTCTTTTAAAAATGGTGACAACATGACATTTTGACAACAACACAGGAGGAAGGTATTTATGAATTATTTTTGAAGAACTGAAGGTGCTACCATGTTACCGGGTGCTACCATTACATTTTGACAACAACACAGGAGGAAGGTATTTATGAATTATTTTTGAAGAACTGAAGGTGCTACCATGTTACCGGGTGCTACCATGTCAATTAATTTCTTTTAAAAATGGTGACAACATGACATTTTGACAACAACACAGGAGGAAGGCAAAAATAAATTCAAATCATACTTTATAAAGCTTCATTTACAGGTATTTCATCGTCAGTAAATGAATCCTCATTATCGTTTGGTTCAACCTGTTTATATAATCCTTTCATTTCTTCTTTCAAAACATAACACCATGTCTGTTTACCATCTATTCTTTTATGTTTCCTATCACATTTATCCTTAATACTCGTTTGGAAATTCTTGTCTTTCATGTCTGATGGTTTGCAGAATAGAGCATTTTTACACATCATACCTGCACACAATTCATCATAATGTGTATTTATCCATACATCTAAAGGATTTGTTGATAATTCAATTAAATCTTGTTTGGCTTCAGTCATCGGAATGATTCGTACATTAAATGATGAAAGGTCATAATTGATAAAATACGTCAGTAAATTATCATAAAATTCCTTTGTGCATGAATTCATTAAATTCTTGAAGTAATCAAATTGACCCTTAAATTTACCATTAACTCTTAAAACCACATATCTTCTGTCTCCAACTTCAATTTTGACAGGGTAAACGTTATTAGTTACGAAAATGAAGTTTGCAACATTCTGAGCAGTTCTTCTGGGTTGATTCTTTTCATTAATTCTAATCTCATTATCCGTTATAATTGATTTCAAAGCGTTGAAGTTTGCGAGTCTATCTTCACCTACATTCTTGAGTTCATTAAGTACAAGAAACATTTTATTCTCAACTACTGAGTTGAAATTACCCGTTAGCTCACCTATTTCAGTAATGTTTTTACATGAATAACCAGCGAGAAGTTCAGAAATAATGTCTGTGAATCTGTTTTTACCTGTTCCCTGAAGTCCTTTCAAAATAATTGCTGTTTCATTCTTGATTCCAGGATGTTGAATCATTGATGCAATCCAACCGAGAAGGTATTTATACACTTCATCGTTATTATCACAAATGGCTTCTTTAATGAAATTCATAAACATCTCAATTTTTGAGTAATCAGGCTTTTCGAGAATGTTGTATTTATAACCTTGAAACGTTGAGAAAACATCTAGGGAATCAGATTTAAAGCAAACACCCTTAACGGTTAATGAAGACAATTGATTTAGTAGTACATCCCATGCTGTTATTGTTTTACCTTCTTCTTTAAATAATTTAATCATTTTGAGTGACTCTTTCATGTTTGACTGAAGAACAAATGATATTTGATTCATTTTGTCGTGGATATTATAGTCCTTTTGAATGAAGTATTTGTTTCCACAATCTACAAAACGGATTACACGTGATAAATCCTCAATTACTTCAGAACTGTTTTTATACTGATGATTTTCAGCCTTGCGTCTAATATCTGTTATCAAAAACGAGTCATCAAGTTTTATATCAAATGTTATTTTTGGCTTACGTAATAAAGGCAAAACGTATTCATCATAATATTCCTTTTGATATAGTTTTAGAATCTTCACCAAAACAAATGGAGAAGTCATTAAATGTGCATATCTACTACGTGCTTTTTCAAAATTACTTTTTGCATTTTCTGTTAAACTGCAGAAGTTATAAACGTTATCGTATGCTTCATTAATTAAATGATTAGGTAACGAATTAATTGCTTGAAACAGTGTGAATAATGTTATTTCTTTTTCTAAATTCATGTTTCCACCGTCATTATGTACTTCAAAATCACAGATGCCATCAACTATGCTCTGGGCAAGTTTATCGTCAATGTTTACATCTTTGTTTTCATTCATGATAGTCTTTATTTCTTCATTCTTCTGTTCAACTCTTACCTTAATATTCAAATCATTTAATATATCATTCACTGTTCTGGTTAATGTTGAGTCATAACTTCCACGAATGAATGAGTATGTATTGATTGATTCTGATGCATTCTTGCGAACTCTTGAATCAGCCATAACTACTAATGAACGCTTTGAATCATCCATAGAAGTCATTATGTCAATATCATAATCATTGCAGGAATAACATTTAATCATTCTGTTCGAAACTGCATAGAAGAAATTAGTGTTGCAATAAATGTGAAGACCTCCTGAAGCGGTTTTAACGATAACATCTTTATCCGAAAGTTTTGATAAAATGTCTTTTCTAACCGTTTCTTTAAGTTCATCATTGTACGATTTATTGATATCGACATCTATAATCGTTAAATTCGAAATTTTATTTACTAATAAAGCCATACCAGTTTTCCTTCCTCTCCCTCCATCATGTTTGAAGTAGTTATGTAAATCAATCTTGTTTTCACTAATTCTTTCGTTGAGGGTTTTAGTTTCTGCCACAACTAATTCCTCAACTAATGAATCAATAACTTTTTCATCAGAAACGATAAAGTTGCCGCTGTTGTTTGTTGCTGTCATTTATATAGGAATAAAAAATAAAAAATAATTTTAAAACCAACTTTATTTTTGGACTGCATCAAATTTCCTGTGTTGTTGTCAAAATGTCATGTTGTCATCATTTTTTCAGAGAAGTTAAATTACCTGGTGACCTGGTGACCTCATCAGTTATTCAAAAATAATTCATAAATACCTTCCTCCTGTGTTGTTGTCAAAATGTCATGTTGTCACCATTTTTAAAAGAAATTAATTGACATGGTAGCACCCGGTAACATGGTAGCACCTTCAGTTCTTCAAAAATAATTCATAAATACCTTCCTCCTGTGTTGTTGTCAAAATGTAATGGTAGCACCCGGTAACATGGTAGCACCTTCAGTTCTTCAAAAATAATTCATAAATACCTTCCTCCTGTGTTGTTGTCAAAATGTCATGTTGTCACCATTTTTAAAAGAAATTAATTGACATGGTAGCACCCGGTAACATGGTAGCACCTTCAGTTCTTCAAAAATAATTAATTATTGCCTTCCTCCTGTGTTGTTGTCAAAATGTCATGTTGTCACCATTTTTAAAAGAAATTAATTGACATGGTAGCACCCGGTAACATGGTAGCACCTTCAGTTCTTCAAAAATAATTCATAAATACCTTCCTCCTGTGTTGTTGTCAAAATGTCATGTTGTCATCATTTTTAAAAGAAATTAATTGACATGGTAGCACCCGGTAACATGGTAACAGTGAAATAAAATTTTGTTATCAGTTATTTTATCATCATTTTATTAAGTTCATCTTTAGTTAATAATTTGAATGGATTCACTAATGTTCCACCTTGAGTCACAACACTTGCCCCGGCTAATTGTGAAGAACCTGGGATAAGTACTCCATGAAATGATTTCATTGGTATCATTAATTTAGAAATAGTTGGCTTAATTAATTTTGTCATTTATGATAAAAATAAAATTACATAATTTAAATTTTTATTTTCTCATTTTCTCATCCTGTTTTGGTTTCAGCAACTTTTCAAGTTGTTGTCTTGTCAGTAACTTTAATTTTAACTTTGGATCAAATATTGGGTTTCCATCTTTATCTCTTCCAATAACACCATATGGTAGAATCTTCATTTATACTAAAATAAAAATTTAAATTATGCCGTTCGCTCTTTTGGAGCTCAGGACTTTCAGTCCGTTCTAAAGTTTGTTTCACAAACATTGAGCGTTCATTGAACTCTATACCATGCGTAAACCGTCATGTAAGGTGGCATGTATTCTTTACTTTGTCCCGTTGTTTGTGTATATCCTGAAACGAAATGTGTATGGTTTCCTTCTCCTTGAGTGTCACTCCAGTAACAATTTATAGCAAACTTAACGTCGTCTTTAACATCATATCCTTTACCTTTTGTCATTCCTGACCAATCCCAATATCTATGCTTATGCCAACCTGCTTGAGATGTACTTAAATCTATGTAGTGACTGTGTGCAGGTAAATTTTCACCTGAAATCGTTTTACTTCCACCTGTTTCCTTTGAAGAGTTTGCACAGTATAAGAATTTATCTACAATCTGCTTCCACGTACCAAAACCTAAAACTGTTGCTGGATTTGTTGAGTTCATTGACGTATAAATAGAGCCTATAGGATATAATGTTTGAAGAATCTGAGTCTTTAATGTTTGAAGCTCTGTTTTGTCTGCTTTCTTATCATATAAATCTTGAGCAGTGAATTTAACATTATTTTCACTACTCATGACATAAACATTTTTACAGCTAATTTTTTTATTCGTTGTTATGTTTTCATTCGATGTTAAACCTTGTGGAAAGTTAGGAGGTTTATAATATAATGCATCCCCATCAGTTCCCTCAACCGTTCCTTCAATACTTTCTATAGCAACAGTTGAGAAGAAGTTATGTGTATGTTCTTTATTTGCTTTCTTCTCTAACTCATTGTTAACATATGTTTTATCCGCTTTAAGGTCTAAACATCCCGAAACCCATCCTTTATCAGCTTTAACTTTAAAAGTCTCCAATGTCCATTCATGATACCATTCAACCTTTTCTTTAATTTCATTATCTTTTTCATCCACATAAACCAAATTTGCCTTCTTATTTAACTCACTATCCACATAAACCAAATTTGCCTTCTTCATTAACTCACTATCCACATATTCCTTATTTGCCTTCTTCATTATGTCATTTAGGAAACCTTCTATGAATTCCTCATTTAAATTAAATCTTCCAATCTTCAAAACTTTAGGAAATGCATTTAATGCGTAATATCTCTGTTCTTCTGGTGGAATTGATGTTATATCATCCGTTATTCCTTTAATTTTTGAATTCATAAATAAAATTTCTTTTATATTTGATATCACTGCACCACCTTTTCAAACGAATTCGAAATGGTCATTTTTCAATACTATCTCCAAATCTCCATATTTCAACCTTTGTGTTTGTTCTGCCATCTTTGAATTATATGCATATGTGGCGTATGTAACGGTTTGAAGGACCTGGGTGCTTTGCGCCTTAAGTTGCTGTGGTTGCTGTTGTTTAATCATTTATTATGATTTAAAAATAAATATTTAATCCGTTATCTCATCAGCTATTTTCTCTATTTGAAATTGCCATAATATTTCATTCATAAATTCTAAATCACAATCAAATAGGTCAGTTATTCTAAATTTAATATTTGATAAATCTTTTGAATGAAGAATAAATGAATTCCCGGATAATTGAAACGGATATGATAAAGAAAATGTGTTTAAGTTGATGGATAAAATGTTTTGTATTGATGGGTAAGAGTTAGGGTCTAATGTTTGATGTGAAAATCTCATTGGGGTATTAACTTTATCACATTTGATTAAAATGAAATTGGAACCAGTGTCAGAATACAAAACATCCCCAACATCTTTTTCAAAATTTAATATCCCCAACAATGAACGAAGATGAGGAGTACAAAATTTAATTTTCAGCGGGAATTTAATAAGGTTATTTATTTCATCAAGTTCAAAAAGTTTATCGGGTTTTGATTTAAAATTTTCTTCATACCATACGATAAATGATTCATTAATATTATTAAATCGTGTTAAAATATCCCATTTCGCTATACACATTATTATGATATAGACATTCATACGTTTTTTTTACAGGTGCGTCATCTTTTAATACATGAATATAAATGTTAATGGTGATTCTAATGTATAGCGATGGTTTATGGAAAATGTGGAGTGGAGGAAGGTTAAATTAATCCACTCTCAACAAGAAACGAGTAAGTAACGGATTAGATAAATGTCGCTCGCTAACATGGTTGAAATTGTTAGATTCAACAGTGTATTATTCCGAAAATTAGAATGAGCTTTGTGATAGGAGGTTATGGTAACAGTGTTTATGTTATTTTAACGAAATGTTAAAAATACTGGTAAGGCGTATATAATTATTCAGTGAATAAATAAACACTAGAATAAGATGTCCTCGTCAAGAAATTCAATAAAAATTACAACGAAATAAAAGAAGTATCATTCATGTTTATTATATTTAGTGGTTTTTTCAAGATAAAATATGGAGATCTTAAGCGTGAGTGGGTATTAACATTCATCCATAGCGGAGTGGTTATTTAGGTATGTGTCGGTCCTCTTCTCTGAGATGTTGTTGTTAAGGTGGTTTGCTGGTGTCGAATCAAACCATAATAAATGACATTTCATAAAGAATTTCGCATGTGAGATGGCTATTTAAAAATGGTGTTGATATAGATGTTATGAATAGAACAGAAGTTGCACGAATATGATGCGAATTTATGTTGGAATTTGGGAGATTGTTAAAATAGTGTGGCCGAGTGGGATAGGAAGATTGAGAGTTAAATAGATAAAGCTGAATACTATAACAAAAACCAATTACAATGGCCATCCGGGAAATACTGGGAACAAAAGAAAATAAAAACGAAACGATAGAAACTGGTGAAAGGCTAATTATCTATTGATTTGTATGGCAATGTGCGATTGTAGAGTGGAATGTAGAGGGATTATTATCGGATAATGTTAAATGCTTGCAATATTAAACTAGCCTTAACAAAGAATATTTTAAGGGGTGATATTTTATTTGCATCAATATATTTTTACTTAATAAATATCAGTTATAATGAGTATTAAAACTGTCACAGTTAGCTTGGGTTGTGCATTCTGTGATAATCATATAAGAATATGATGCTAAGATGAATTTGTTATAGGATATATTAATTTTGTCAACTGGATTCGCAAGCATGAACGCTCATACATCTGAGTGAAAAAATTGGACATTTAGACGTTGAGAAGCTTGAAACATCACCAAGACAAATGGGCGGACATCAATGTAGAATTAATGAAAGTTCAATAAGGTAAAATAAATTAAGACAGGATTGGGATCAATTAAATTTATTATATGGAAATCATAATTATGTAATTATATATCGATCACGGTAATTTTACATTAATAGATTAATGTCTATTTTTATGGGTGATACACATGATGTATTGATGAAAGGAAGGTGGAGGGTATGTTGGATAAGTGGGAATTTCAGAAACAGGTTTTTTACAGGTATAAGATAAAATGATTGGGTTCCATTCTCATGGTTTACTTCAATGTACTCCTCATTATCTTCGGTAGTACATGGGAGTTAAGTAAGTTTGGTTAGAGTTGACTGACCTTGTTAATTCAGGCTAACATTCTTTAACAACGTACTTTTGGAAGTCTAATTCGGATTATAGTAATCATTTAGCGTTATAACCGAACGCGTAATGTCTGTCTTGCCGTATAGTGTTATATATTGATACGTGAAACGTCTTCTCACATATTATATTCTGATAAAAAATATAATGGTTAAACTATTTATTTCTTGCTGGGAACTTTTGATCTAATTATCCTGTAAGTTGTTCATAGAAGTTGATTTTAATAGCTGTTTCATCGAAATTAAGACCCGAATATTATTCTTAATTGCATTATTATCATCATCTGATTTCTCAAAATTTTCTTTTATCTGAGTTCCTATAACTAAGAATCAATAGTTGAACCAATCGTATGCTGATAATACATGGTATTCTTTATATTCAAATCTTTGAATGACTTGAAGATAAAGCCCTGATGCAATATTCTGCATACTATAAATATGGTTTAGGTAATTGATGAATTAGTTCAATTTTAACACACTATTAGCGAAACTGGATCTAATAAAAGCAACTTTAAAGAATTTGCTTAGCTGGAAAGTTTAGGTCTAATAATTTGCATATTGACATCAACTGGTTAGAATATCGTGGTAAGTCATGACACGGTCTAGACATCTTAATAGACATTTAGATTCATATTGCACTAAGTAATAGTGAGATTATGAAGGTATGAATTAATTGGGACCATTTTCACATTTCCAATAGTATTGTTTAACAGCTTTTCCATTTTCATCAAATTGCATGGATGACGATTCATTGATATGCTTTAGCGTTTAGGATATCAGATATGATGTTAATTATATAACCATTTAATGGACTTTAATATTACCTGACTCATAACAGTAACGAAAAACTTCATTTATACCATCAGGTTTTCCATTTGGACTCGTACTGTTGCTTCGTGGTGCTTCCCATATAGGACATGGAGAGTTTGGATATAGCATTTGAGTTCTGGTAATTGTTTAAAACATTTCCATCATTTGTTAATTAACCATCTATTTTGATAAGACCCAAGCAACGAAGGTATCGAAACTAATTCATTTTCATTCCATTCGGAATTTTTAAGTTTATATATAATAGACACTCTTGTGTTTGTCGCCTTGGTTTTATGGAACTGAGAAGAAATTTGCTATTTTTTGTGCATGGTTAGTAATTAATAAACTAAAAATAAAAATTAATTATAAAAGTTAATCAAGTTTAAACACACTCTTTATTTAAATAACAACTAATTATTTATCATGTTACATTCATATATATGCTGAGTATTGTGTGATAAGAAGTGTCAATTAAAATGCTCATTAATGGTAATTCAAATATGATATAAAGCGATAACGTTATCAAGAATGAAGTAATGAAGACTAAACCACTAGATGGAAAGTGATATGATAGAAGTTTGAATTTAACTGTTTGGCTGCTTATGTTGAAAAATTGAACGCCATAAGAATGAAACACATGATGTGTCGGACATGAGTTAATAATGATAAAAGTCATGATTTCTCATTTGTTATTCAAGTTTTGAATTTCACTGGCATCATCTTAGAAAAATGAGATAGGAAATGCAAACATTATAAAAATATAAAATTTGAAATGGAGAAGTGTTATCAATAATTATCCCGTTGGATTTTCATCAATATTATTATCTCTAAATTCTTGCTTCTTGATTGATATAACTAGTAATTTTTTATACATTAAAAAGTTTTTTTAAATAATCATTTAGCATGTCTTCTATGTGATAAAATAAGATAATTATGGAAATTATTGATTAAATGCTGTTAACGAGATATCATATGTATCAATCTGAAGGGAAACCTGAACGGAGTTGATATATATTAGAGCACTGTAAATGGGGGGAAGTGGTTAGCAATAGCCGATAATTTGTTTTGATAGGTTTAATAGTTTTACCTTATTAATTAGTTAGATTT